GAAAAAAAAGAAAGTAGCTTTAGGGGAAATGTGCTGTGGAGTGTGAAATTGCAGCCCGTGGTGCTCCATATTGTACCAGAAGCTCTCCAAAAACTCATCCTCCAACGTGACCAGAGGTGCTTAGAGGGGGAGAAAGAGGGAGAGGGGAAGAGGGGCTCGGAGACACAGGGGGAGGGGAAGGATGGGGGCCTTTTATTCTTTACGCGCCCTCTTTCTTATTAATTGTTCGTTTAAAACCTAACTTTATGTTTGTTTGTTAAACTCGACCACCAAGAGCAATCTCGGTTCTTCTGGGCAGAGCGGCTGGGGGGCACGGGGAGGAGCAGCTGGATGCTGGCTGCTTCCCCCTGCCCTGCTCGGCCCTGCCCGGCCCTACGCACCCTTCGGAAATCTCCCGCAGCTTCGGTTCTGTTTCTATGTCTCCACGCTACTGCTCGGCACCTCTGCCCTTCCCCATCAGCCGCTCCCCTCCGGTGTGATCAGGCCACAGCTCCCACACAGCGAAGATGTGGATACCCCTTCCATCTGGGCGCTCGTTGGCGAGAGGCAGTGAGAAATCTCAGGCCAGAAATCATCCTCTCCTGAGACAAAGCACCCAAAAAGTCGTCCAGGAATGTTTTATCAAAGCGTCCCCCCCCTGAAGATCCCTCTGACACACACATGCCCACTCCTTCCCTTAAATGCTCACATCTTTGGGCGGGGGGGATGTGTTATAATTTTTTTCCTCTATCTTTTCTCAGACAGGGATTTCGCCACCAACTTTCTCAGGCTGAAAGTTAAGTTAGTTGACGCAGAAACTATGCGTCAGAAAAAATACACCTAGATGGTCAGCGTAGATTTATTCTGTGAATTCTTAAATATGGTGCTGAGAATATTAAGGGTTGAGCTAAATCACCTCCAAAGTACCAACATTTAGGCTGTAAGCGTTTGCACACTTGACAAGAGGAAGAAGGCAGACAGGGTGTGGAGCCAAGAACTTAGTGGCACCTCCATGGTGTACAAATCCAAAACTTCTACCTCTGCAGCACACCGTCCTGCATCCTGTGGCCATAGGTCGCGTTTAGCTGTTTTTCCAGCATAATTGGCTACAGACAAATCGTAGAAAACAGAGAACCAACGTGGGCACAAGTCCTGGCTCTGGAGCCAACTGTGATCGCAGGCACAAGCGTTTGCTCCAGGCCTGAGCCCTCCGAGGGGCTCCTCCTCTCCCGACCCCTATTGTTCCCGGGCACAGCGCCCTTCCGAGCGGAGAGAGGACCAGGGGGAGCAGTTTCCGAGAGCAGTGTCTGTAGAACCTGGCTCCCAGGGACAAGGCGAGGCGGCAAACTAGGGAAGCCAAGGCGGCTCGGGAGAACTCAAATGACTTCGAAGGGAAGCTGACAGGACCCTCGAGATTATGTGTATTGGAACCAAGGGTGGGAAACAGGATCAATGGAGAAGATTTCGACTTGATCAGATGGAGAAATCCGGCTAATGAAGCAGATCGAAAGATGGCTATCATTGCAACTCTCCCAAAAGTTTATTTTTCTTGAAATTTCCGCAGAGAGGCGGCCGTCTCTTTTGAAGTGTAAATGTTTCTAGCTTGGGGGAAGGCGGGGGGCGGGGGGGGGGAAGGCTGGGTTAGAGAAGAAGGGGGAGATCCTCATATTCTCTTTGAGAAAAAGAAATAAAAGCAGGAGGGAAAAAAGGAAAAGCAAAGCAAAGCGATTTAAAAAAGAGAAAAGATTTATCTAAAGTGGGACAGGGAAATAAGCATACAGGGCTCGTGAAGTGGAATAGATGGGAAGCTATGGAAAGAGGCCCGTGGTCTCGGCCTCACCCGGTCCCTCAGGGCTCACGGCAGTGCCCGGGGGCGCGCAGACAGCCCGGTATTTTTAATTTCGGTTGGCAGAAATTGTTCAGTGGATTTAAATGTTGACAAAGCAATACTTCCAGGAAGACTAGTGTGGGAAGGGGCACCAGGTGATATTGTGGTATGTGTGGTGGGGGAAGGGGAGAGCAAGCAGAGAGCTTTCCCTTCCCTTCCCCTCCCTTCCCTTCCCTCTCCTCAGAAAGTTGTCTTGTTCTACCAGGCTCAGGGCTCCCCGGTTTACTCGGGTTACCTCCGTGCGTAGGATTGAGGCTTCGTGTCGCAGAGTGCTCATTTTTTGTATTTCTCGAGCCTGCTATCCCTGTCTTTCTTCTCAGTGATATGGCAAAATAGTGAAGAAATTAAGGCAAAATACATTATCGGGAAGAAGTTTGGGATTTGCCGGCTGCCCCAGACCACCACCAAGCTGTTATCTCCTGACCGTACAATGGTCAGTTACAAAGGCTCAGAGCATCTCTGAGAGAGGGTCCAGGAACTCACCAAGTGTTAGTGCAGGCGCAGGGAGCTCCCTCCCTTCCACCCGGCGTTGCCGGGGCTCCTGCCGCACCTCCCGTGCTCGACTGTGTGCCTGAGCACGGCCCCAAGAGCGCGGGGCAATCGGGGCTGCCTGGGGCGGAAGGGAGCAAGGCCGGGGGGGACTGCTGGAAGACGAGAAGCGACCGAGACCGGTCGGTGACGGAGAGTTGTAACAGGGCCGTTTCCAGCCACGGGCAGGGCGGGAGGCGCCGAGTGGCGAGAGGGGTTCCCGGCAGCGGCGACAAGCGGGCTCCCGGCTCCGCCGTGAACAGGGGACTCTGCTGCCCGGGGAATTCGACAGCTACAGTTGTCCCACCGACAGACGCGAACGGGCCGTGCCGTGCCGTGCCGTGCCGTGCCGTGCCGTGCCGTGCCGGGCCGGGCCCCTGAGCCCGGCCGCCCCTCAGCCGCTGCGCGGGGCGGTCCCGCGGCGGCCGGGCCCGGGCCCGCGGCAGGAACGCCGATGGGGACCTGGCGGGTGGGCGAGCTGCGGCCGGCGGGTCAGAGCCACGGCGCGTCCCCGGTGAGCAGGGCGCCCTGGCCCGGCAGCGGGGCAGCCCGCGGGAAGCAGCGGCCGCCCTCGGTTTGGCGTGCGGAGGGAGTTCCCCCGGAGAGACGGAGCCGAGCCTTTGCCTTCGCCAGGCGGGCGGCAGCGCAGATCCTGAGCGGGCAGCGCGGAGCCCCCAGTCCCGTGGGAAATTCACCCCGCGCAGGAGCTGCTGGCAGGGGCGGCAGGGCCGCCTCAGCCGTGCCCGCCGCGCCTGTCCGCAGCGCAGCCCCGCAGTCACAGAGGACTCACTTCTATGTAATCCCCGTGGTGTAACAAAAAAATTTTCTTTTCCAAATCATCCCTTCTTTTGCACACAAGGGAAAGAGAGAGAGGAGAGAGAAAGATAAAACATCAGCTGAAGTGCCAAAATGATTTATGAGACGGTGGAAAATATTTCATAAAGATCTCTCTGACATTCTTTACTTAAAGCGGTTAGGGAAAAAAACGGGGGGGGGGGGGCTGTTTTGTGACAGATAAGCAGAGGGATAGGAAGAATGAAGGAAGAAAAGAGAAGGAAGTATATTTCAGGTGATGGTAAACTCTCAAGTTTGAAAATCAAAATTGAGCTGACAGCAATTTCTGTCTTGCCTTTCTGCCCCTGGTTATTACCCTATGAAGGTGTTTCTTACTTGCTCTATATTTCTTTGCTAGGTCAAAGCCATGTCTGTTTTAGCAGCAGACTTATTTGTAAAATAATTTTAAAATCCCACTCTAACACCAAAAAAAAAAAAAAAAAAAAAAAAAAAAAAAGAGAGAGAGAGAGAGAGAGAGAGAGAGAGAAGAGAGAGTGAGAGAAGCAGCAGAGATGTGGAAAGTGTGAGGCTGGACTTGCTGTTATTTCCCCAAATGCATGTGAGGGAAAACTTTGCAATGACCGAAACGGGCCTAATCTCTTGGTTTTTAAGAGGTGCAAGAAGCTTGCTTGCTCTTTCTATGTCTCGTTCTTTCTTTCTCTCTGTCTGGCTTCTATTTATATTTCTTTCCTCTCCTTTTAATACATTCCTCTCTTTCTGTCTCTCTCCTTTTTCTTTTCCTTCTTCTCTCCCCCTCACCTCCTTTCTTTTTTTCTCCCACACTAAGCCGCACACCACGGAAGCCTTGATGTGTATCGAATCCCCCTCCTGTCCCGCTTTACACCGAGTAAAGTCTCCGGTTAAAAAAGCGGAGCGTGAGAAGGGAGGTGAAACTAGCAAGGCGTGTGTGCTTGTGTTAAATAAGCGAGTTAAGGATCCTGAGCCGTGACAACAAAGCGGGGCTCACGTCCGTTCCCGCGGGCCGGGCAGGGGCGCCGCCGCCCCGCACACGCACGGCCCGGGGCGCTCCGGGCGCGCGGCCGGGGCTCCCCCGCCGCCGGTCCCGCAGGCAACGGCCCCCCCCGCGCCGAGCTCCGCCGGCCCGGCCCTCTTCTCTCTCCTCTCCTCTCCCCTCTCCTCTCCTGGCCGCGCTCGGCTCGGCGCGCTGGCGAATCAGAGAGTGTCGGAATCTATTGCCTTTGTCTGACAAGTCATCCATCTCCGGGGAGGCGGGCGGGGGGCTGAGGGCGCTGCGGCTTTTAGAGAGACACACACCGGGAGCGGAGGCTCCAGTCTCCGGCCCCGGCTTCTCGCAAGCACTTCCCACCTCGGGCGAAAGTCCGCCGGGCGCCGGATCCGCCGCCCGGCCGAGAGGAGGGGTCGCGCCCGCCCGCCGCTCGCCGCTTTCCCGGGGATTGCTACTCTGCTTTGAACTTAAATGAACTAGCCCCGGACCGCGGGAGGAGGAGGAGGGAGAGCCGCGTCCTCCTGCGCCTTCTGCCGCCTGGCCGCCGGCCGCACCTTGCTCCGGCACCCCCTCCCCGTCGCCGGGGATGCTCTGAGCCCTCCCAGCCATGACACCCACCTGCCCCCCGGCGCCGCCAGTCCCTCGCTCCCACGGACTCTGCTGACTCCCCCACGGCCGGCGCAGCCCTCCCGCCCCTCGGAAAGTACTTCGCTGCCCGCTCCGCCGGGCCGGGGGCCCAGCGCATCCCGCCGCTCCCCTCCTTTCCTCTCCTCGTGTGCTTTTTTGTTTTGTTTTGTTTTCCGTTTTGTTTTTTTTTTCAATTTTTTCTCCCCTAAGTCTTGAAGTTGAGTTTTAGAGGCGACACGGCGGCTTCAGCCGATTTCTTCCCCTTCCTTTGCCTCCCCATGGATATGCACTGCAAAGCAGACCCCTTCTCAGCAATGCACCGTGAGTACTGGAGCCCGGCTCCTTCCGCTGCTGTCCCTTTCTCATCCCTTCATTCTTCCTTCCCCAACCATCCTTCCTCACCTGATCCTCCTCCACGTCCACCTTTTCACCCTGGCCGCTACCGGGCTCAGAGAGGCGTTCAGAAGGCAGGATGGATACTGCCGGCCCGAGCTGCAGAGCAAGGATGCCGGGCAGCCCCGAGCTGAGGGGAGCAGGGCTCCGTGCCGGCAGTGGGGCGGGGGCCAGGAGCCCCAGTCCGAGGGCAGGGGACTGAGCGCTGCTGTGCCTGTGCTGCGTGCCCTGAGAGCACTAAGAAAAGCCCCCTTCGAACCAGAGCTGTGCTCCGCAAATACACTTTCTCCATCGCCCCTCAGAAAACAAGAGTTTATTCTGACTCGTGTCAGCCCCCGGGACGGGCCCTTTCCCTGTCCGTGCCCAGCCGGGCCGGGACTCCCCGCAACGCTCCGCGGCTTTAACCCCCCAGACTGCCCCGCGATGCGATGCTGTTTGCTTTGATTTTGGATTTTGGTGGCAGAGAGGGAAGACGCCAGTTTCGAATTAATGGCGGGTTAGTCGGTGGCTGTTCTGTGAGTCGTTTTCGTTTGGCGAAAGGTTGGACTGCGGGAAAAAATAGGACAATTGTATGGCAGGGAGATGAAGTGGCTTTGGAGGCTCCCAAGAAGTCACGATCCCTCCTGGTTTATTTACCAGATACCCGGTGTGAATTTTAAATACAATCCTGGTACAGAGGAAGGGCATTCATGCTACATTTTTCAATTTTAAAAGGCTTTCTTAAGAGGGGGACGAAGGAACGTGAAAAACCTCCTTTACCAGGGACTGTAACAAGGAATTTCCAGTGATTTTAATTATACCGCAGGAGAGAAAATAATTCCGAGATTTAAACTGAAGAAGAAAAAATACAAATAGAAAACCGAGACTGAGAGTATGTTGAGTCAGGAAATGAATAATTAAGAGCAATTTGTAACTTTTGACACCGAAACTTTTGAGGACACGCCCTGCCCACTGCATAAAACACAAATCGAAAAGATAGAAAATGGAAATGCTTGAACTTTAAAAAAATCCCGATTTTGCCTTGAGAAGGAAGGTGCAGAAATACAAGCCCACGATTAAATCCCCAAACGCGGATGTAGGTAACTGCCTTTCTGTTTCCTAATAAGTGATTTCCAGAATACATTGCTTAAAATGTGAGTTTTGATTTCCAAAGAGCTTTAACAGCAAACACTCCGTGCTTTAGCCATTATTTTAATTTTCAGCGGTGCGATCTGTTTCCAGACGCGATGTCAGTAATTCCAGCTGCAGTACGATCTGAAACATGTCAGCAGACGAAAGAGGCATTTCACTGTCGCTGATTTTTTAAAAACTCCAGGGAGATTCCTGACCAATTTTTGGCTTCCGATTAGGGGAAAAAAAAACAAAAAAAACCCCAAAGAACACCAAATCTAAACAAAACAAAACGACCCCACCAACGTTTGATTCGTTTCCTAAAGTGTATTTCTAGAGCTACAGACCTGGTTACTATTAAGCAATGTAAAGAGATGCGGGCACAGGCTCCTGACATACAGACACGATCGGTACGACAGCGGCACGACTGAGTCTGTGCACATACAGATGCCGGCACTTACATGCAGATAAATACACGTAAATATCTGACTGCTCTGATAGAAAGAATGTTAGAAAACCACGGGGCAGAACAAAACAAACCAGTGTGAAAAATATCCGGACTGCAATAATTTGAATTATTAATTTTTAATCTTTTTGCATCTGTTGCCCTTTAATACTTTGTAATGCGAGTTATAATAGGTGCTTTGAATTATTTATCATGGAGTTGCCGAAGAAATTGCTATCTGGTAACTTTAGAGGCAACATGTGCAGAAGGGCTTCTGAAAAAATGGAGAAAGAACACAACAATATATACCCGCCGGTTTTAGTGGAAGAAGATAAACATCCCCCGTCCCCTCTGAAACCCTAAATATGTTTTTAAAAAGAGTAACAAAAGAATGCAAAACATAACCCCGGTTCAGCGGGGAACGACGGAAAAGCCAGCCGGCGCCCCGGCCGATGGGGCTGGGAGGGGATGTGTGAAGGTGTTACTGAAGGGGTGGGGGAGATGGGAAAAACTCTATTTGTACGAAAGGACTTGGATCGATCGCAGGGCAATGAGAGTTTCCACTAAGTTCAGAGCCAATAAGTCAGTGTCAGAAGCAGGAGAGAAAAAAACCTCAACGAAAATACAAACAGATCATTTTTCAGCAAACTGCAAAACGAACTAAGATCTCTTGGCGAGGAAAATACAGGAGGTTAGGGTTGTGTGAAAGGAAAGCTTTAATACAGAGTGCACTCCACAGCTATATCAGTTGGATATTCCGGAGACAGGCGCTCAGGTAGCAGAGCCAGCGAAGCTGTACCGCCTGCGAGCGGGCATCTCCCCATGCCCTGGCAACGGCGAACTGCTCTCGGCTCTAACGCAGACCTTTGATTCACGACCGACTGTCTTAGTGCGTCCGAAAAGCAGATATTTCCCTTTATCCCCGACACTCCGTGTCCACTCTTAGCAGGTGCATACTTATTTTTTCCCCAAAGTTATTTCTAGAAATGGAGAAAGACAGATCGGGGGGGAAAAGCGATCCTAGCAATCCTGTCTGAGAGAGAGCAGGTTTTTGGCTGGAAATGGAGAACAGAGGAAAACGGACTCCCTGAATTAGATTTGTATGGTAGGGAAGGAAAAAATCCCCCAAAAAACCAAACCCAAACCCGGAAGAGTACGAGTCTATTATTTTTTTTCCCGGATTTTTTTCCTGTAAAGATCGAAAGCTAATGAGAAATAGGGTCTGCCTGTAAAGGAACACCAGCTGCGGGACACAAAATATTTTCTATCTCTCTCCCTCCATTTTTTTCCTTTTCTCTTTTCTCCGTGAGTCTTTTCAACTCGCATCCCAAAATAACGGGATAGAACTGCTTGCATGGGGGACATGCCGCGGGGTGAGGGAGGGCGGAGTTCGCGAGGAACTGTAATTGACAACGTGATAGAAAATCCTGGAAAGAAAATGAGAGAAAAAGCCCAGGAGTAAAGAGAAAGGGGACTGCGGCAGAGTCCGCCCGGAGCCTCTAAGAGGTCGAGCTCTGGAGTTGGGAGTGCATCGCTGCCCTGCTCTGGGGCTGAGGAGCGGGCGCGGGCGCTGTTTCCATGTCCGGCCCATCACAATGGCCGTGAGAATCCACCGCTCCGGCATCCCGATCGGGACCGCAGGAGGAGAGCGGCTCGGGGAGGGAGGGCGGCGTACGGGAAGGTGGAGAACAATCTTCCTCCGTCTCGGGAAAATTCATTCTGCCTTCCCTTTCCATCATTTATTTTTTTTATTTTCTTTCTTTCTTTCTTTCTTTCTTCCTTTCTTTCTTTCTTTCTTTCTTCCTTTCTTTCTTTCTTTCTTTCTTCCTTTCTTTCTTTCTTTCTTTCTTCCTTTCTTTCTTTCTTTCTTTCTTCCTTTCTTTCTTTCTTTCTTTCTTCCTTTCTTTCTTTCTTTCTTTCTTCTCTTTTTCTTTCTTTTCTTTTTTTCTTTCCTCTTGTTATCGCTCTCATTTTCTCATTCTCCCTGTTTTTATCTCTTTTCTCTCCTTCTCCCTGTTTATTTTCTCTCGCTTCCCCACGTCCTGTTCCCCACTCTCGACCCCCCGCCGTCACCTCCATCCATCTGTAATGACTGGAGAATTTGCAGCGCGAGTGGTAAAGAATCCACGACTAACGGTGTGTTTCTGGTGTGCGTGGGTTGTTGTGTTTTTTTTATTTCTCTTTCCCCAGCAGGGCACGGGGGTGTGAACCAGCTCGGGGGGGTGTTTGTGAACGGCAGGCCCCTACCTGACGTGGTGAGACAAAGGATAGTGGAGCTGGCTCACCAGGGGGTGCGACCCTGTGACATTTCCAGGCAGCTGCGGGTCAGCCACGGTTGTGTCAGCAAGATCTTGGGCAGGTAAGGAAAGAGGCAGCTCCTTCCCCTCCCCTGAGACTGCAACATTGCGTCCCTTCCCCGCTCCAATATGACCTTCCGCCCTTCCCGCGGCACCGGGCTCTCCCCGCCTCGACCCCGGCACCTTCCCACAGTGGGAGCCCGCGGCTGAGCAGGGCCCCCTCCTCCAGCTGGCAAGGACGTGTTTCTCCCCCGCCTCCCCCCTTCCCTCACCGGCGGTGTTTAAAAACTCCTGGGAAGACAAAATAATTCGAGAAGAGTGTGTGGGAGGGCGGGAAAGAGAAGGGACGGGAGAAAGAAAACGAAAGAACCACCAAAAATCCCCAATCCATGAGGAACAAAAAAAATCCTAACTCACAACAAGCCGTAAGCAGCTTTACCAAATACACGGGTAAATAAACAAACAACGGGGCAAATAAATAAATAAATAAATGCCCGCGGTAACGGATCATCGCCAAATGAGGTGTGCAATATCCCTAGGGGCTACTCGGGGAGAGCCAGGGCCCTGGCCCGGCCGCTCGGATGCGTAGCGGTGTGAGCAGGCGGCGGTGCCCCAGCCGCCGGTGCGGGCGCTACGCGCGCTGCCGTGCCCGGCCAAGGCCGGGACAGAAACGCTGCCGGCAGCGGAGCTAATGGACAGCGGGGAGTGGGATGGCGCTGCCCGGTACGAGCACCCGCTTGAGAGGGATCCCGGGGCCGGGATGAACCGTTCTCCTGCATCCGCAGCTCGGCCAGCGCCCCGGTTCGGGAGCGGCCGGCTGGGAGATGCAGGCGGGGGAGTGCGAGCCCGCCACTGCCCGTTCCCCACGCGCCCTTCCCGGCCGCCCGGCCCGATCCCGCGTTCGGCGGGCTTCATCTCTGGACAGCGGCATCGGGGAGAGGGTTTCTGTTTAATTTCCCGACCCCAGGGCCTAAAGGAAGTGTGTGCGCGTAAAGCGGGGGAAGGGGGAGGCAGCGTCCCTCGCTTCTAACACACACACACGTACACATAGGAAAAAAAAATAAAAAAGAAAAAAGAAAAATGAAAAAAAAGAAAAAAGGGGGAAAAAAGGAAATAAAGAATAAGGGGAAAACCCCAAACCAACCAAAAAAAAAAAAAAAAAAAAAAAAAAAAAGAATAAGAGAAAAACCCCAAACCAACCAAAAAAAAAAAAAAGAAAAAAAAAAACAAGAGTGAGCCCTAGAGAATTACAGGGACTGCCTTAGCCCCAGGTCATGTCGCCTGGCGCCTCGAGAAGCGGCGATACGCAGCGCCCGAGCGGCCACAGCCCGAGGCCGCGTACCCGCGGGCCGAAGCCGAGGTGGGGCAGGGGGCAGGGGCCGCGGGGTGCTCTGAGGGCCAGTGAGGCTCTGGGTGCTCAAGGACGGCAGGCCACTGACCATATTTTGTGCAGGTATTACGAGACGGGAAGCATAAAGCCCGGCGTGATCGGAGGCTCCAAACCCAAAGTGGCCACCCCCAAAGTAGTGGATAAAATCGCCGAGTACAAGAGACAAAACCCGACAATGTTCGCCTGGGAGATCCGGGACAGGTTATTGGCCGAGGGCATCTGCGACAACGACACGGTCCCCAGCGTCTCCTCCATAAACAGGTAAGAGCAACCCCGCAGCTCGCGGCCCAGTCGCATCTTTACGGCCCCATAAAACCCCTTCCAACAGCGAGGACGGCCTAATCCTTCCTCGGTCAGGGTAGATCCAGCCTTCGGCGGTCCCCTGTCTGAAGCGGGACCCGTGGGCATAGCCCGCCAGTCCCCGGCCCGGTCCAGCGGGCGCTCCCTGGCCTCGCCGTGACCTCCGAGCCCAGCTCCCGGCAGCGGGACGGAAAACAGCCGCCCGCTCCCGCAGCAGCCGCCCCGAGCAGCGGGTGCGCGGATCCGTCCCGGGGCTCGCTGCGGCAGGCCCGCAGCTCGTGCCCGCCGCGCGGCCCGGGGCCAGCCGGGGCCGGGGCAGCGCCGCTGCCAGAGCACCTGAGCTCCCGCCGAGCAGCCGGCACTGCGGCAAGGTTTGGGTGCTGCTCAGGCTGCAGGGGTGAGGGACTGCGGAGCCGGGGCTTCCCGTGTCCCTCGAACACCCCTACCGGGGTGTAGATGAGCTCCAGCCTTGCCAGGGTATTAGAACTCTGAGCCGAAAGGCTGCCGTCGTCTTCTGCCAAGCAGGGCTCACAGCCGCGAGCCGCTGAGCGCGGGAGGAAGGATTCCCTTGCACCCACTCCCCCGGCTCACTCTCCATCGGTAGCCTGAGGGAACGGCTAAATTTGCCGGGCTGTTCTTCACCCGGCTGGGGAGCGCTGCTCTCCGCGCTCCCGGCGGCCCCGACTCGGGCTGATCCCTGATCTCGCAGAAGGCTAGGCAGCAGCAGAATCGATTTCGCACTAGCGAACCATTTGCCCCCTCCGCCTTCCCCATTTCCTCCCCCGGCTGCTAGGGTGCAGGTTTTGTTGATTTTGTTGTTGGAGGGACTCAGATTTGGTCTCAGGTTTGAGGTGACAAAAAAACCTATATGACAGGCAAAAACCCAGGATCGATGCAGGAGAAAAAGGAATAGATATAATCACGTACTGACAGACATCAAAGCGCTCAGACTGCTCACATGCCTGCACGTTCAAACACAACGTACATCAGATCTTCACACTTTGGCAACACAACACTCCTGTGCACACAGTAGAAGTAATTACACCGTTTTAGTGTTATGTATGTACAGATACCCTGACTGTGCCCACAGAAATACAACCTCTAGAAACAGAGTATACATAGGCATGAAATACCTCACCAATAGAGTAAAAATACACTAAATTTTGGATGCAATTCCAAATGTATGGCTCTTCCCAGCCAAATACATATACACAGGGTATGTGTAAATAAGCATGCAGGCTTTTGTAGTGTTTACATAGATAAAATGCACAAATCGCTATACTGGCCTTTTTGATCTATAACAAATTTAGCCAGATTAAAAAAACCAAAATCAAAACCAAAACCTGGTGTATTTATAGCAAGAGAAGCAAAAATAAATAGCAAGGAAAACAGTGGTATTTTTTTGTCTTGCACTTTTCATGGCAGATTTATCAAAATATGTCTAATAACTCAGACCATGTATTTCTAAATCTGGCATCCTATATAAATGGGTTTTAATATTTTGCAAATGATATGGAATTATCCCAAATCATCTTGAAAACAGCAGGTAGAATTAGCTAGTAGAATGTACCTTGGCTAAGAAAGATTCCCTCAGACACACTGTCTCTGTAATATACTGCTAGGCTACCCTAGGAAATTATCCCTGTGTGTGCCATCTGTATTAAAATGGTTATTAAGTTATGAACAGGGTAACATAATACTGATCGGCTAATTATACACCCTCCTAAAAAACCTCCAGGTCTCTGTTACTCTCTCAGTCAGGTATTGAAATAATAACAGTTTGACATTCAGACACCTTACAAAGGCAGCTGTGGAAGGACAGACAGCTATCCCTGTAAGGAATTGAGCTGGTGGTATGGAAGTCCAGAGGAATGGCCATAGGCTCTTTGGAGAAATAACATGTACAGACCCAAAATATATTTATACTTCAGCTAGCTTAAGGGATCTCAGCATCCAAAAGTCACGGAAGTCTCAGTCTTATGCTTGCTGGACCCAGTGCCTCATGTCTGGGTTGTGCTGTCCCAGGCAGAAAGCTGAGCACCAGATTTGGCTCCCACCGTGCTACCAGTCTGCGGCAGGGTTTTGGGAGTTTTGTACCTCAGTTTCCCCACACTGGAAATGAAAACTAATTTTTCTCAGAAGGAGGTGGAAACACTTGCCAGTTAGATTGTGCTTATAAAATACTTTGAGGACAAGTGTTTTGTAGCTGCTAAGTATTCTTATACTAGAGAGGCTCAGCTGTGACCCACCATGGCAATGGCATTTGAGTGTGTAGTCCCCAAGGCTCAAGAGCATTTTAGCTTCACAAGATCTAGTCTTTCCCCATTCCTTTTAAAAATACAGATAAAACTTCCCACTGTTCACCTTTGTATGAAGCTCCCCAAAACTCACATCTGTGAGCCCATAACACAGGTAATAAAATTTGCAAGTCTGTCCTAGACAAGAACAGGACAGCGAACTGGGAAAAAATTGCAGTGAAATAGGAAATATTGAGTATATTAGGGCCCAATCCTAGTGCTGTGGAGAGTAGCGTGAGCTTCATCACTCCAGTGACTTTCATTACTCCACCTCACAGAACTCACAAAACACAAAGAAGCTCACAATTTAAATATATATTTTTCTCTCCCTCATTGTAAAAATTCACATACAGAATCTGGACAGTTTCTTTGTAACAGGAAATCCCTTACCTGCAGTAAATTTTCATCTCTCTGATCACCAATCACAAATTGGAGTTAATCTAACACTTAGTCTCTGAGCAGCTTCAGAGAGATGACAATTTTAAAACCTAGCCATCAATAAATATCTGTCTTCTTACTTCTGCAAAATGTGGCATTTCCAATGCAAAATCTGGTTTTACCCAGTGTCTAGAACAGTTAGAACTACATCCAGGAACATTATCTTAAGGCAATTAGCAAGGCATTTATGGAAAGTTACCTATATCCCTAAATAGACTGTGAATACTGTGCTTCAAAATGGATGTCCTTGTATATAGAAAAAAAAAATTACTTCTGGTTATTATAAGATTTTTTGAAAATGTATTAACAACCTTTTATTTTCTTTCTGAGAATTAGTCTAACATTTGTAAAGGTCTTCAGGTGAGAGACTACAGAGCAACAGTTTTAATTCAGTTTTAAAATTCTCCCTTAAACACTTTAAAATTTTTAAAAAAAATTTTTTAATTCTGTGTGCCTACATTGCAGTGGTCTGTCACTATTGCACTGAGAATAGCAGGACACTTTTGGGACAACATGTTATTTAGTTCTGAGTTTTGTCAGAAACTTTTTCATTCCAAACTCAGTCAGACAAAGGGTAGATACAAATTCTAGTGAAAAAAACATGACTTAACTAAGCTGTCAAGACTCAGGAAAAAACATTAAAGTCTTCTGCAACACAGTAGATTTCTTTTAATTACGGGAAAAATCTAGAGAGTATATGAGTTCATAAGCCAAGTGCACCAGAAATTACAGGATCAGTTATCTATGCGCCAACAGCTTTCCTGTTCCCACTTCATACTTTAAGTACTGTGCAGTATAAACCAATTGTCTATGCATACGTATACATAAACATACATACAAACATGTGTATGTACATGTATATATGTAAACTCACACACACATACACAGTGCATGCAATTGAGAAGCAGGCAAATGACAGAAGTTGTTAATTCTTTGGTAAGCAATTAATGCTTTAAATCTTTTGAGCACCTTGCTTCTTGAGCACTCTGCCAGCGCAAACTTTTCCATCTATCATCTAACTATAAACCAGTTATCTTTGGTCATTTCAGATTAGACTGTTTCAAGTGAATTTAGACACTGTTAAATGTAGATGCTCCTTGTGGCAGTCTCCTAAAAATGAACTTGGGCAGACGTTAGTGAGAACTTTTCCTTTGTTTAGCAGAACATACAGTTCACCTAAGAACATAAATTTCATGAGATGGTAATCATGCCAGAGAAATCTGAATTAGACAGTGGACGTTAGTAGGAACAGGAGGGAGCACATCACGGTCATACTTTCACGGTACTCTAAGTTATGCAATTGTTGTTTAAGCGCTATTTCCTGCTTCTCTTAAATTAATGAAATATCTTGGGTTAATGAATGAGGTTCAGAAAGGCAAAGCAAAACAACCTCCCCCTGATTTGCACCTCTATCCCAGTTCTTGGATGGCCAGGTTCAGTACTGGGAACTCCCAGTTAGTTCTTAGCCAACGCATGCCAAAGGCAAAGCATTTCAGAGTTCAGTCAGTCTTCTGGTTACACTTTGGACCCTGAGTTCCTGAGAACAGACCTAACTAATACCCCATGGCAGAGAATAGAGTTTAGTGGATATATTATCTCCGTCAAACTGCTGGATGCTTTTTCGATCTTCTCTTAGGTATTGGGTATCCATTAATTTCTAGAGTTAAGCATATGGTTTAGGGAGATGTTTCCATTTTCACGATACAGCAATTGACTAATGATGCCTAGTTAAAGTCTCCAGTAATGATGTGTTTTTAAAATACATATGGAAAGACACATACATTGACGTGCGTTATAAGGACCAGTAAAATATACTTGTACATTGAAATATTTTTGAGCATACGGCCAATTTCAGTAGCTGCAGGCTGGCCTGTAGTTTAGAGCAAAGAATGGCATATTCGAAGATCAGATTTCTCTTACCAGTTCTGACATTAATTTTCTGACTGATCTTAGGCAGGTCACACGGACTCCTTAGAAGGCTGTTTTGCCATCTGTAAAATGAAAATAACAGCTTTTAGTTACTTTTGTAAAACTCCATATGATCTTTCACTAAAAATTTCCAGTGAGTTCAACACATAACAATAAAAAGTTCAAAACTGGTGCTAGGTTGGTTTACATCAGCTGAGGCTTTAGCTCATGCAATTGAGGTAAATGTAACATTTCAAGACAAACAATTGTCTGGCAAGAAGAAGGCACATTAGAGCAGGGGCTGTGCTGTATGCAGAA